AAGTCATTCCTGCTTCTACCACCTCTCTTTTGTCTCCAACTTTGTTGGGGTTTGGATTAAGTGTGAAGCTTTGGCTAAAATCCTTGGGTTGCCTTAGAGCGCTGACACTAAGAACTGGGGGTTACAAGGAAGGGAGGACCAAGAAAGCGCAAGAGGAATGCTTTGACGGAAGTGGATTCTCTCCATTGCCCTGTCTGTGACCCAAGCTTGACCATGTCCACACGTTTGCAGGCAGCGCGTCTAGGGTGAAATCTTGGAGGAAGGATTAGGGAGAGAATCTTTCTGGACTGTGTGGTCTTAGAAGAATCCTTTCTGCGCCGTACCATGCTGCGTCTTTAGCTCTTCAGGGCAGCCAAGGCCATCCCTTCCTCCCTAGGGGCCCCCAGGAGAAATAGCGCTTTCCTCTCTTCCCCCAGGTGGCAGGGCACCCCCTGACTCCACCTGCCCACTCCAGTAGGAAGCTTGAGAACCTCTCTTCCTGACTCTCTCCTCCTCCGCCCTTCGTCTCTAGGCTGTGGGACAATCATCCCATCCACCACTTAACATCCTCGACCCTCATCCCCCAGCTTCCAGCAGGCTGGCCCCACTCCCCTCCACCTCTAGGTTTTCTTCCAGAAGAGGCATTTTTGGGTCCGAGAGGAGCACTTTCTGGAAGCCCACCTTTTAGCGGCCCTGCTTGCCTGAGGTGCAGCAGGAACTTGCCCACGGCGCAGAGAGCTGCCCCTGCCTCCCCACCTCTCTGCCCGCCTTGTTACCTCACTCCTGCTCCAGCCGTGGCTGCGATGGACCCAGCCAGCTCCCTGTTTTGGCGTTCCGGGGGAAGCTCAGGGGTCTGGGCCATCGTTTTCTGTTGCGACTTGAGGTCCTCAGCAGGCCTGGAAGCTTGGACTGGAGCCTTGGCTGCTGGCGAGAAGCACCTTGCCTGCCAAGAGGAGTTAATGCCAGACGATGTACCCGACATGTGAAGGCATTAAAGAACATTGTCACCTCTGCCCCTTGGCCCTCCTTGCTTCTCCCAACACGATGAGACACTGCAGAAGCAAAAAATGGTGGCCTCTGCTCCAGGCAAGACAGCTGGCTGTGTCTGGGGAGTTGGCCCTGGGCTTGGGTGCCACGCACTGAGATGGCACAGTAAAAGCAAGCGTTTTTGCCAACGACAGTGTGTGGCTCCCCACATTTCTCTGTCCTGCACTCTAGGGCCAGACCACTCTCTGCATGGACCAGATCATCTTCCCAAACCCATGGTGCTTTCCCCCCGCCTCAACCTAGACTCCAAGGTGGGGAGGGATGGGTCCGAGGCCATTGCAGCCCCTGGAGAATCCTGACATGGGGGTGGGGGTGGGGTGAGGCAGAGGGAGCATCCCCAACCCCTGCCCTGGGCCATACATGGGAAAGAACACAGGTTGATTGCAGGTGAGTTGTCTGGCCATCTGTATTTGGAGCTATAACTGTACTTTGCCTGGCGCTGTGCGCAAGGTCTAAAAACTTAACTGCTAGTACCTAGAGACAAACAAGGCTTCCCGGTCAAATCGTAATGTAAAGTAGCTAGAGCCATGGAAGTACAGTATGAATTAAAAGAAAAAAGTATTGAACTACGTGTAATAAACGGTGTGTGTGTTCATTGCCTGATTCGTTAGTCCTCATGGTCCCAGATGTTTTGGGTCTTCCCAGGTGTGATCACAGCAAGCCCTGAAGGCATGTGTTCACAGGCACACACACAGACACACGTGCACAGCCAGCCATCCAGGACCTCCTTCCCAGGGGAGGGCGGCAGCCTGATGAAGTGGAATGGATAAGAAGTTTGGGAATCAGCTCTGAGTCCAGATTGCAGCATCACTGTTTACCAGCTGTGTCCTTGGGCCCCGACCATTACTGCCAGCCTCAGTTTATTTTAGAGATAACATAAAATATATGTGTGTGTGTCTGTGTTTCTTAGTATAGTGGCTAGTACTATATGAAGATAATTTTATATCATTATTAATCATTGTTAATGATTTTATATCATTATTAATGATTTCATCTCACTATTAATCATTATCAATCAGTGGTATTGTTATTCTAGGAGTGTATGGTAGACTGAATGCCAGTGACAATTTCTTGTGTAACTTTTCCCTTTTGGGGCCTTGGCACGTCTAGGAAGACACACACTGGGGGACAGCGTTGCTTTATTTCCTTAATGTTAGCCAACCTGGTAAGGGAGTGGGGCCCCTCCCTTCACTAGGTCTTCCTTGCTGGGAGCCCCTCACCAACTTGTTTGATGTCATTCAGGTGAGAACACGCTGGCTCTTGGATTCCTTTGTATTTGGGTAGGGAAGGAAAGAAGGGAGACAGTATGTTTAATTCCAGACTACTAAATGTATGTTTCATTCTCTGGGCATATATCCAGTGATTGTGAGTTCAGGAATTGATGTGGGCTGGGGAGGTAGGTAGAAGCCATAGTATGTGTAGCGGACACACACAGTGGAGCAAGACCAGAACAAGCAGTGTTTAGAGACACTTTATTGACATGAACAGGGAGTTTACTGAAAAACACCACATACAGGCATTAGGTTGTTGAGAGCTGGAGTGGTCAGGAACAACATTTCTAAAGTTCAGAAAAAGATTGGCTGTGGAAAATCAAGAAAAAGCCACATGAAGGTGACAACATGGTGACGAGTTCCATGGCTGTACGAATTTGCTGATTGTGTTTGGTGCCTCACAAACCTACAAGCACTCGTCCTTCAGTGCCTCCCTCCCTGTCACTCTGCCCAAAAGAGAGTAATACCAGCTTTGAGGCTTAGCTGGCCTGTGATAGGGGTTGAGTCTGAGCTACAGCTCAGGCTCGCTTCAAGTGTGCATCTTCTGGGTCCTACTACAGCCTCAAGTAAGGGGAGGGGCGCCAAACATGAGTCGTCTGCCATGGTAGAGTTTTAGAGACCAGGAAAGGCTTGGATGATGATATTTTTAAAACCTAAGAGCGCAGGGCACACTCAGGGTCTAGACTGGTGCCTGACGCAGAGAGGGTGCTGAAATGCAGAATGAATGGATGATCGGAGTAATGACGCACCAAGTACTACACAGATAACATTTGCCGTGACTAGGAGGACTCGCTGGGTTGGGGGCTTTTCATTTACAAAAGGATGGGAGAGGAAGGTGTTTTTTGTTTTATTTTTCCATTTCCGCTTGGGAAGGGGAGCCAAGATGTATTGTGAAATGGGTCTAGCTCCTTGCTTCTTCCTGCCAAGATGCAGTTAACACGGCCTTTTCTCTCCGATTTATGTCAGGTGGGTTCACAGATTCTGAGATGGGTATATTTTCCTTTCTGATCCCGTAGTTTGGGGGGGGAAAAAGGAGCTACTATCTCTTCTCTTAACCATTCATAGCTCTATACATATTTCCAGCATATTCCTGTGAAGGTCATGGCTGTTAAACCCAAGGGGAGGGAAAACCAGACCCAGCCGAGCTGGCCTTGAGTGAATTGTATTATTAAGCGTCAGTCAGGGGAAATATCCAGCACCAAGAAAACAGGTGGGGTTCCTAGAGTGATGATAGCCCTTGAGAACATTTCTAAGCCCTTTAATAAGAACAGCATGCCAGATAAAGCTTCCAGAGCAGTGCACATTTATCTGGGTCCTTTGTAGGAATATGCGGAGAACAGGGAGTGAGTGAGGATTTGAAGTAGGCTGGTGATCACAGTACCTTGTGGATTTATAGTCATGATCAAGTCTCCCAGGAAGGAGTTTAATTGCAATTCAGGAGAAATAATGAGGTACAAACCAACGAGAAAGGGGAAACGAGCATGAGATTAAGACTCTGAAAGCACGTTTTTTAGCATATGGACCAAGAAGCAAAGTGGCAGAGGAGCAGTCGAGTGGGATTAGGGGTGAGCGAAGATGTTTAATATCTCAGGACAAGCAAGAGAGGCAAAGATTAGATGGAAGTAAAAAAAAAAAAGAGGAAAGGAAGCAGCTATGGTCTCAGTGGAAAGAGAGCTGGGCTAGGGCTCAGAAGACCTGAATTCCAGCTCTCTGTTTACCCACTATATGAACTTATGATTTGGTAAAGCTTCTTAGCCTCAGACAGCGTGTTTCTTCATTTGTTAACGTATTAGCAATATCCACCTCACAGAGCTAGTTGTGGAGAAGAAATAAGATAATTAAAATGCTTGGTAAATCATATAGCTTAATAAAGGAAGCATTAAAGATGAGAAGAGTTGAGAAGTTAGGAGGAGGAAAAGACTAGCGAAGATTACTTGTAAAGGATAAGAAAAAAAGAGAGGTACCATTCAGCTTCATTAAAAATCACTCAGGAAATATCTGAGTTGGGCTTTTAAAAAGGAAAAAAAAAAAGCAAACGTGCATTCTAGATCACAAGTTAGATGCGTGGTCTACTGAAGCAAGAGGGAAGTGGAGTGGTAGAAAGTAGTTTCTGCGGCAGGCTTGTCATCCACCATCCACGTGACTGGGAAAACCTCACAGTAATCCAGGCCTGTCTTCCTCACAGGAAAGTAAGGAAAATCTATATTCTGTCCCCTATTTCAGAGAGATTGTGTGGGAAATTACCAAAGAGAAAGGCCTTGAATTTATTGAAAGTATTTTCTTCGATAAAATCAGACTCTCGAATATGTAAACAAGGACTAATTCAAGTGCTTTCCCAAGGATGGCAGAGGTGAACTGAGTTTGTCAGGTGAGTCCCAAAGCCAAGAGAGTGGGATCTTTCCCCATAGATTCCCCTGGATCTGAGGGACATCTTGTTCATCGAATCCCAGTCACTTTCATCTTCTCACATCCCATAAAGCATCCTTCCCCCTCTCATCACAAGGTGCAGAAGGACATCACACTTACACCAGTTACTCAAAGTGAAACATGAGATATTGACTAAAATGTTTCCAGTGTTCATCTGCTCTCCTAACATCTAGGGGAAAACAAAAAACAAAGAAAACCTGGGACATTATGAATTCACAGGTGGAATATTTGGAAGCCACCTAGCCTGTCCGTCCTCTATCACGTCACTCATTTGCCATCATCTATCTCAGACTAAAAACATGTGTCTTAGTTAAATGCCATTCCCGGATGCGTTCCCCTTCTGGAAGACGTCTCAGATTCACAAACCTTTTCACTAAAGAAATTCTTCAAATCTACCTCACATCCTTCTCTCTGCCTTTTTGGCCAATTTCTAATTGCCTGAATCAGAGCTAACCTCAGCCAGGCAATCCACCGAGTTCTGTGCCACGGCCAAACTCAATTTCGAAGTCTTTTCAAGAGCAAAATTATCCCATCTCGGGAAGTGTAAACTGGACCGCGCCTTAGGCTTCTATCTTCTCCAGTTTATCCTTTGAAGTCTCTTATCAGTGGAGTCCTGTCTTGAGTCTCCGTTGCCTCCTGTATGAGTAATAATACTGACCCACAGAAATTTTGAGAGGAAGAACTTGGGAATTGCAGTCCCAGTGCCCACAGGAAAACAATGCCACCCAGCCATCTCCGGTGGTACGCTCACCTGGCAAGGCACACACACTCGTTGCCCCAGGAGGATCATGAACATGCTGTATGACTTCCTAAGCCCCCTGCCCTCGGCTTCTTGAAGGACTGACACTAACCCAGGCCTTTGAGACCTCTTGGGATCTAGCCCTGGAGCACCATAGTCCAGAGAACATTTTAGTCCATGCTTAATGGACTTTCTATCACTGGAGGGCCTAGAAAGGCATGCTTTGCTCTGATGCTCCAGCCAAGTGGGCCAGGAACTTAGAAAAACTGACTTCAGGGAATCCCACTTCATGACACTCCTTTGTTTTAACCCAGACTAATCACTCCAGCTTCCTTCCGTTAAGCCCTCCGTTCGCTTGCGGCAATGGAGAATCAGCGGGCTCCAGCACGTGTTCAAAGCCGGGTGGAGCACAGGGGAGGGGTCCAGTTGGCATGGGAGCTGCTTGCTTGAAAGCAAGGGCAGGCTGAGGTTGAGTCGTGTAGAAATGTTGGCTCCTTGGTTCTGGCAAAGTCTTGTGCGTGGAGGTCTGATGGAGTTAGCAAGTCAGAGGTGACAGTTCAGAGGTGAGTGGATGTATGATGAATGAACTGAAGGATGGACGCATGAAGGGAAGTGATGTGGCCCCTGGGGCACCCTCCTGACGCTGTTGACATCACTGAACATGGGGTAGCCAGCGCTTCAGTGTTCAGGCCACCTACCAGTGATAAAACAGCTCACTGAGAATTGCCAGCCCAGTCCAGCCCAGCCAAAGGCTCTCTGACCTCATCCAAGATCCTTACATAGGAGGGAGAATGGGGAATTATTTTTTGTCACTGTGGGTAAGGAGTTCAAGTTGCCCCAACACTCAGGCCAAAGCAACTCACCTTCTGAAGGACTTGAACCTCGCGTAGAGCTTTATGACTACTTGGGCAGCTTAAAGATGTACCCCGAGGGTGGGGACTCTGGGTAGAGGGTAGAAATCTAAGGGACCAAATCTAATGGTTTGTGGGTGTCCAACCTGCCTCCTTATCTACCTGCTCCTCCCTTCCCTGTACATCACCTCCGGTTGCCCCCTTCTATTCCTCCACTGGTACCGCAGAGTTCTCTTTGTTCTCCGATGGGATCGCCAGGTAGTCAGACCTGTTGGAAGAGAGACGGGGGAAGAAAATCAGTGCCTTTGTACCCAGAGGTGCCAACACGGGAAAAGGGAAGGAGCAAGGGCCACAGGAACAAGGATGTCTCTAGAACACCTCTGCACTTCCTTCTCGCCATGTTACCCAAGAGAAAATGAGAATGGCCCTATCAGCAGACTAGAGTAATAAATACTTTTGTTTTTTCCTTCCACCAGCAACATGTGAGTCTTCTCATTTATCCACATTGTTCTCAGGACTTAGTACTGTTAGATTAAATCAGCCAAACTGATGGATGGGAAATTAACATTTTATAGATCTTTTAATATTCCTTTCCCTGATTACCGGTGAAGTTGAATATCTTTCCATAAGTTTATAAGCAATTTGGGTTTGTACTTCTGCAATATGACTTCACTTGCTTTACCAGTTTTTCTTCTGAGACATTTATCTTTTTCTCTGATGATTCCATGTCTTGAAAATATCTTTCTTTTTTCTTTTAAAATTTATTTATTTTATTTTTGGCTGTGTCGGGTCTTCGTTGCTGTGCATGGGCTTTCTCTAGTTGCAGTGAGCGGGGGCTACTCTTTGTTGCAGCGCACGGGCTTCTCACTGTGGTGGCTTCTCTTGTTGGTGGAGCATGGGCTCTAGGCGCGTGGGCTTCAGTAGTTGTGGCATGCGGGCTCAGTAGTTGTGGTTCGTGGGCTCTAGAGCGCAGGCTCAGTTGCTGTGGCACACGGGCTTAGTTGCTCCGCGGCAGGTGGGATCTTCCAGGACCAGGGCTCGAACCCATGTCCCCTGCATTGGCAGGCGGATTCTTAACCACTGCACCACCAGGGAAGTCCAGTATCATAAAATCTTTACTCTAATAGCTGTATAAGAAATCTTTATATCTGACAGGAAAACTCCTACCAGCCACCTCCCCCAAACTTATTCCTCGAAATAGGCAAACTATGGCCCATGAGCTAATAAAGGCTGTTACTTGTTTAAAGGGCTGCACACAAACAAAACTAAAGGACAATAGGGGACAGAGACCCTCTGTAGCCTGAAAAGCCTAAAATATTTACTATCTGACCATCCTCTGGCTTAGACTAGTTTTAGCCTCTGGGCTTCTGTATGACTTTTAAGATCCGCTTATCAAGTTCCTTGAACAATCCATTGGGTATTTTGATGGGAATTTTACTGAATTTGCAGATTAATTTGGAAGAGAATTGCCATGTTTGTAACAGTGAGGTTTTAGTCTTCATTTATTTAACTCAAATCTTTCAGTAAAATTTTGTAATTTTCTCCTTAAATATCTTACACGTTTTTATCACATTTATTCCCAGGTACTGGAGAGTATTTGTTGCTATTGTAATTGAATTTTTTTAAATGTTTTAAATATTGAGATGTTTCTCTAAATTTCTGTGGCTGGAATATAGGTGCTTTTATATTTATATTTATAAATATTTTGATTTGTATCAACAATCTTATGAAATGTTCTTACTAGTTCTAATAGTTTGTCTATAGATTCCCTTGGATTTCCTATATAGGTAATCATATTGGCTGTGAATGATAATTTAGTTTCTTTATTTACAATTCTTACTCTTTTTTTCTTTTCTTTTTTTTTTTTTTTTTTTTTTTTTTTTTTTTTTTTTTTTTTTTTTTTTTTTTTTTTGTATTTACTTAGTGCACCACCTAGGATCTCCAGTATAGAATAGAAGCAGGTATCCTTGACATGTTTCTAATATTATAGGCAGTTCTTCTAAAGTTGCAACATAGATGATATTTGCTGTAGGTTATATTAGTTGCTGCCATTAATCAGTTTAAAGATGGTTGGTGTTTAGGTTTAGATTTATATGTATTTATCTTGCTCAGGACATATTGTGCTACCTGAATCTGAAAAGTCATACCTTTCCTTAGCCACTGTATCTCTGAATATTGTCTCTCCTCCATCTTCTCTCTTCTATTCTAATCGATCTTGTCAATTTTTGTCTTCCTATTTCTTTGTGATATTCCATCTTTTTATATCTCTGTGCTTCGTTCTGTGAAAACTTCCTTATGTTTATCTTCTGGTTACCAGTATCTAATCTCTGGTGAACCAATCCATTGAGTTTTGAATTTTATTGACTGTAATTTTCATTTTCAGGTTTTTCTTTATTCCTGTTCAAATCTGCCTGTTCTTTTTTCGTAATAACTTATTGTATTCTTATGTTTTGGTTCCTCCTCTTGTTTTAACTCTTTTATGCAAATGTATTTTCTGTATTCTACCAGGTCCTTCTTGTGTCTGAAGCTCCCGGGATTTAATCCTGCCATTCGTTACTTCTCTTGCTCATACTGGATTATTTCCTGCTGTGTCTTTTAGTTTTGGATGAGACTGTGGAATCAGATTCAGCAATGTTTTATTTGGGGAGCACTGTTAAGCCTCAGCTAAAAGTGGGTCCCTTCAGAAAATAGTTTTTCATTTGCGTCTACATGGTTATCACTGTCTGGGGACTAATTTTTTTTTTATTGACTTTCTCAGCTTAGAGGTTCCTGGATCATGTGGGTAGCATAAATTTAAATCCCAAACATTGTGAGAGCAGGCTTGTGGTTACCGGTTCTCAAGAATCTTTTATGTTTCTACTTGGAGTCAGGCCAAGTAGATATGTTTCCTTGGCTGTTCTATGGGCTGGTGGACTGATGATTATTTACTGATCTATCTTTTGCACGAGCTGTAGTCCTCTGAGGATCCTGGTTCTGCTGGTGACCTCAGTTCCAACTCTATTTCTGGCGCAAGGCCAGCTGTGGGTACTTCCTGTCCAAGGGTGGGCACTTCCTATGCTCAAGCACTGAAATCTGATCACCCAGGTCACCAGGAATGACAACCTCCCCAGTATATCCTTTCTTTCCTTCTATCTGGTCAGTTATAATTTTTTACTTTCCTGAGATCATCGATATCATGAAAAATGATACTTTATCAAGCATTTCTGGGTGATAATAGCCTAGGGTTTTTAGCTTATCGCCTCCACTGTGTAAATCTGTGAGGGTTATTTTCTATCTTTCCTCTCCCCAAATAACAAGCCAACATGGCCCCTTGGACTCTCAGACCCCATCATCTGTTACCTGTGCTCGAGTGACTAGGGCCTTGGCGAAAATGGCCAAGGTACAGTCCGGACGTTGGAGCAGAAGAGCCCCTCTCTGGGTTTTCAATCACGGCCAAGCTCCAGGGGGAAGAACATGTTTGGAGCTCCTTAGCTAATAGATGGCAGAGCCCAGGTGGCCTGATGAGCTCTGTGGTTTATAGCAAACAGCTGAATGTGTCGGGAACAGCAAGGACACCAGACAGGCTTCGGTTCAAATCCCAGCCTCTCCTCTCATTATCTGTGTGGCCGCAGCAAGCCACTTAAGCTGTATGAACTGCTTCAGCATCTATAAAATGGTCATAATAATGCTAATGTCATGGGATCGTGGTGGCAGCTGATGGGCTTTACATAGTGGTTAAGAGTGCAGGGCGCGAGTTAGCAGGCACGAAGTCAAACTTTGCTTTGCCTCTTATAATGGTCTTGGGCAAACTTTCCCAGGCTCAGCTTTCACATCTGTAAGATGGGTATATTCATGCTGCCTACCTCAAACGTTGTTGTGAGGAAAGTGGAGGACTGTGTAAATTGCTCACCACCTCACCTATGAGAGCAAGCGCTCGGAAGGTGCGAGCTATCATTATTTTGGCATCTTTGGACTTACGCATTTTCTTGGGCTGCCTCTTCGGCCTTTGAGACCTTCCTGTAGCAATATATCATCTCGATGAGCAGCCACAGAGTGAGGAATACCAGGAGGATGTACATCATGATTTCTGAGACCACAGAGGTGAAGTCCTCTCCAGCTGCAAGGGGGAGAGTGAGGCTCACAATATGCATGTCCAACAAACCCAGAGCTGTCCCTGAGGTCTCAGATATACGAGGCCTATTTTTAGGTATGTCTTAAATAAGCACTGGGTCTAAAGGAACGCAAGAGGGTACCAATGAGATTTAATATCCCCTAATTCTCCTGCCTGTCAGCTTTCTCACTGACTTTCTTCAGATGCTCTGGAGGGAGGCATGAGGGAGAATGATGGGTGGAGGAAGAAGTCATAGCGCTGGAAGGAATCCTGGAGCTGAGATACATGCAGCTGGGTCCCAGTTTTCCTACTTCCTGGTGTGTGAACAGTCATTTCCCTGATCTGAGACTCAGTTTCTTAATTTGTAAAGTGAGGATAATAACTCATACCATACATTACCTAACGTATTTAAGGATACCTTGTGAGATGTAAAAGTCTGCACAGATGTGAGGCACATGTCTTAGTTCAGCCGACTCTGTCCTCTGAGCTTAGGGTGGTGGAGTGTGGTACCCCCAGGAAGAGGGCGTCGGAAAACATGGACAGGGCCACGTGGACAGTGCCGTCAGCCCACCCAGTGACCTGAGCATGTCTTCTGCAAGTCTGGATGAGAAGCAAGGACGTTCCCAGCTCATCTTCCCTCCAGGTCATTCCAAACCCAAACAGAAATGAGGGTTGGAGAATTCCACATATTAACCAGGCTGTCCTCAGAGTTCTACTTCTGGAACACAGATCTGATCCTACTGAAAACCTTCCAGTATTCCACACCACCCTCAGCATAGAGACCTTGACTCTCTCTCTTTTTTTTTTTTTTTTGCGGTACGCGGGCCTTTCACTGTTGTGGCCTCTCCCGTTGCGCAGCACAGGCTCCGGACGCGCAGGCTCAGCGGCCATGGCTCACGGGCCCAGCCGCTCCGCGGCATGTGGGATCTTCCCGGACCGGGGCACGAACCCGCGTCCCCTGCATCGGCAGGCGGACTCTCAACCACTGCGCCACCAGGGAAGCCCCCCTATTTCTTTTTAAATGCAGTAGCCAGAAGTAGTGCCACAGGAAGCTGTCCTCAGTAGCTTTATTTACCTCTAGGTGAAGAGAACTCAGATTCCTGTCTTAGAGCCAGGAGGTGAGAGCCTACGCCAGGATCAGTCCAGCTTGAGCAAAGAGAAGCAGGGAGATTCTCTGGGGCCACAGGGATGGAGCAGACGTGGGGAACGTGTCATGGTGGAGCGTGCAGCAGTATGAGAGCAGTGACTATCTGGGGGTGGGGATGCAGAGGGCTGCCAAAGGGGTCACGGGGTGGGGGGAAGAGAGAAAACGAAAAAGTGGCAGGGGGTGGGCGGTGGTGGAGGGAAAAGATGCAGTGGAAACACAGGTAATAGAGGCAAAGATCTGGACCGCAGTCCTGCTTCTGGCGCTAATGTGCTTCATGTCTGAGCAAGCCCTCCTCTTCCAGAGCTCTGTCTCCCAGCCACAACATGAGGGCGTCAGAGCTGCACCCTCCCACCACCTGGGGAGTCATTTCAACTGACGTTCGCCAGACTGCACCCCAACCTGCTGCACTCACACCGCAGCAGTGGTATGGAGCCTTCACACTGAAGGAAAGCCCCCTGGGTGATGCCGATGCCAGCTCTTTGTTCAGACCCCTGGACTGAAAGCCAAGCTTCCTTCCAGCCCTAACGTCCCGAGGGGCTCTGGGGCTCTGATGACAAACTTGTTTTCCCTCTATTCTTACCCAAGTCTGGCTCTGGTGCCCGGCAGGCAGGCAGACTGGCTCCGCTTTGCCACCCTTTCCACTGGCTGCTCAAAGGTCTCTGGAGGCAAAAGCCTTTGAGAGCACAAGGTGGAGACAGAGGCAGCTTCCTAGGGCCTGGCTGTCACCAGCCGACAGTCCCAAGGATGAACAGCAGAGGGCGCCAGGCTCCCTCCCCCCGGGGGCACATGTATGTAAACAGAAGAGGATAACGGAACTTCTGAACAGAAAAATACCTTAGAGAGCTCCCAGTCCAACCCCTTCGATTCACACAAGAGGAGACGGGCTCAAGGAGGGGAAGAGGCTCATCGGGTCTGAGCCAAGTGGCCTGAGAGTCCCTGTGCACCATCTGGATTGACCTACCTTCCGTTTTAGTCTTGTCTAAATCATGACATCGCTCACTCTGCTGTGCACTCTCGTTTGCTTCATGAATTTTATCACCATAACACGATAAAAAAAAATAAATACACTTGTGGCCTGAAAGTCGGGATTCCTGGCATCCTTTTCTAGGAAGAGCCTGGCTTTAATTTGACCTGCCCCACACCTTTTGCCTGTTCACTGACCTGCATCTTGGGGCAGCCAGAATGCTGAGAACGTGCTGGAAATAGATTGTCTAGGAAGGGCTAAGTAAAATGGAGTCATCATTTAGCCTGGGTGAGAAAACACAAAGGGGGATGCAGGTATCGCTCCTCTGCCACATGAAGGAACATTTGCAAGGGGTGAGAAGCCACAGTGCTCTGAACAATGAGTCCATTGAAAGCAGAACAAGAACAGTTCTAAGTTCACCCTCAAGATTCTGGATTCGATCGCAACAGAAACTTTTGAGCCTAACAAGGAACCAGCTGTGGGAAATCGGGAAAATTTAAAGATTGGAGAGCAAACCGCGTTTCCCCTTCTCGTAGCTGAAAGTGAGGTTATGTAATGAGAGACGCCACGGGTGGGGAGGGGGTTGCTTGTATGATTACTGTGGAGGGAGGCAGAAGACAAAGGCTGTCAGACTTTGGTTTACAGCAGTTGTTCTCAAAGTGCGGTCCCCCGGCAGCAACAGCATTTCCTGGCGATTTTTTTGTCACGCTCCATCTACGGAATCAGAAAGCCTGGGTTTAAGAAGTCCTGCAGGGGGCTTCCCTGGTGCCGCGGTGGTTGAGAGTCCGCGTGCTGATGCAGGGGACACGGGTTCGTGCCCCGGTCTGGGAAGATCCCACGTGCCGTGGAGCGGCTGGGCCCGTGAGCCATGGCCGCTGAGCCTGCTCGTCCGGAGCCTGTGCTCCGCAATGGGAGAGGT